TATTTTTACAAAAATTATTATATCTTCTACGTCTTATTCGTAAATCTTTTTGACTTATTTGGACGGCAGTCTTTTTCAGTCTTTAGTATGTTTATTTTACAGCCAGTCTAGAGTAATTATTTGTTCTTTTAACGTTGTAGGCTTGTATGTATATAGTTAGTTAGTGGAAGTCACCCTCAGTGTGTCAGTGTGGTAGGTCAGATCGGAATAGTATTATTGCATTAACTAATGCATGATTTTTGTAGATGACTAGCGCGTATATTAAACGCCAGCGCAGAACGCTAATTATTGTCACGACGGTGTATGATCGCTGCAAATGAAGTACGTCAATTGTTTTAATGAGAGGATAGCGCTATTGGCGTTGACATTTATTTTTCGTAAAACAAATGATTGAATTCTCCATCGATGGAGCTGCTTAGTTGTTACTGCAATTTCTCTGTACGTTGCCAATTCACGCCCAGGGCCGGCTTCGGATAGCAACTTCTTCTGATTTTCTTACAATTTTTTTAGTCGCTTAATCACGCTGCTTTACACACCATACGATTTCCTATTGCATCTAATTAACACCCTCCAAAGCTTACTACTTATTTTAGAAACAACCTACCGCTACTGAGTTTTGAAAACCGCCGAGATTCAAAACGCTTCTATGACCTTGGAGAGAGCGTGTGATATCACTGTTGTTACTGCGAAATTTTTCACACTTTCTTATATATTATTAACCCTTTAGAGTATTTAAAATTATATTTTTTTAAATAATAAGTTAAAAATACACGAGCGCTTGTTTTTCATTTGGCTTTGCATTTCATTCTTTCTCATTTTAATACAAACTAGAAATGTGTTGTAATAAAAAAGTTCTGCATTTTTTAATTAACACATTGCTGTCCATTTAAAATTGAATTGCTTACTAAAGCAAATATTCACGAATATCATCTTTTTTAATTTAGTCAAATTAAACATCCATTTTTACCACAAAATTCTACATATTGTTTTCACTATACAAATCATATTATTTACATTCAAAATGGTTTCATTGTTAATTGTGTTAAACTAACGAACGCTCGTGTTATTGCTGCAGTTTTCTTATGTAGTTTTCGAACTTTCTTTTAATTCAAACTCAAAAAAAATATCACATTTCTTGTCAATTTCAAAATCTCACAAACAAAGCACAAGCTTTGAAAGCATCACATAATACATTTCAATTTAGAAACAAAAAGTGAAAGATAAAAACGCACATGTACCTTTCGTTTACCTTAAAAGTGGACGAGGACAAGATGTATGACTATCATTATTAAATTTGTGAGCCCTATAAATTAATCGGAAGTTCCTGCGAAATGACAAGTCGCTAAAGTGAATTTCTGATCCTGTCTATCGCAAATCAATTAAGGACTAACTGGAGCAGTCTCTTGCCGCATATCCGACATCACTAATAGCAACTAATGTATTTGATAGGAGTCATAATCAAATTTGACCGGCACACGTTATTATGATTACATTAACATTACATAAGTTACATGCATATACGCAGGTACCTACCGGTAAATCTATACAGCATCAATAATCCTTCAAGCGTATTTGACACAACACAAATTAATAACTATTTGAATGCAATTATTACAAAGTGTTTAAGTTTAATGTTCATTTCGAAAATATTCTTCATACAGACCTTATCTTGAGTTACCTAAAACCATCTACATATATACTAAGTCCACAACTTCAAATTTTTCTCATCAAAATTTTTTTATTTGAATTTAGTTATTTGTCCTATGTATCATTTTTATTTATTCAAAATCTATTTAACCCAAAAC